CCATTTTTGCTTTACAAGTTTGTTTTGTGGAAGTCTAAAATGAAACTATTTCCCATAAGAAGAAGTTTGAAACTACACTTACTTGTTATTGGTTTTTCATTGTAATCCTACAAAATATTGATGCAGCATCTAAAGCGCTATAATCTAAAGCCAGCGATCTCTCGAATTCTGTAAATATTTAAGGGGGTTGTTCTTTTTTATTTTTCTTTGTTTCGGTTTTGAGATTTTTTGATATTATGAAAGCAAAAAACCTTAGAATTATTTTTAAAAAAAAGATCATCTCAATATCTATTTTTGACGAAGTTATAGATATATTTATCTCTATATGTATGATCCTCTGAAAGCGTTTTTTTATCACGTGAGCTATTATATGCCAGCTGCCTCTTTTCATTATAATACCTCATGCACATGACCTTTTTAATGTGTCAGCATCTTTGAACACCATGGTGTATTTAGTACATTAAATTAAATGGTGTATTTAGTACATTATATTAAAAACTTTAAATACGTTTTTTTCAAATTGACTTTTTTCAATGCGGTGCCACAAATTAAAAAAAAACTACAAGTCGGATCGACTTGCATTTTTTTTTAATTTGTTCACCACTGCAATACCGAGTCCTCCTACCTCAAACAACTTGATAACATTACGCAAAAAAATTTTGCGAAGCTTCTCGCCCCAAAAAAAGGCCTTTTTTGACACTTTTTTTTCTAAATAGTTGCCATTTTTTTCCTTCTTGCTTTTTTTTTTATTTTGGTAGGGGGACTGGATTCAAACTTCTTCTTCAACGTAGTTTCTTTTTTTTCGGGCGATGCGCAACAGATTTATCTGTGGCACCGCAAAAGAGATGGATATTGCAAGACCGACTTTGGCACCCCGTGGTTAAAAAATGACGGCGCAAAAAAAGAAGAAAATCACGTAATATTCTATGACTTTGTAATTTTTGTTTAAAAAAAACCGCGTGTCTCTATGATAAATACATTTCGAGAAAAACAAAAACAAATATCTTGCATTTTTTGTAACAAAAAAAGAACAACCCCCTTAAAGATTTGTTAAGAAGAAATAAAAAAGTATCGGCATAAATTTGAAAATTCAAAATTGTAGCAGAATAATGATGTTTCAACCCTAATTTTTTTAAACTCGTCAACTGATTTATTAAATAAAAGCTATAAAATATGTAAAATAAAAGATAAACATTAACATATTTGTTTCACCTTTACTACAATTACAAGATATATACACGAGCATTAAAGACAGGACACCTACCACAAAATGAAAAGACAACTTTTACAAAATAAACTACTTGAACTGTGATTCATCTTATATTGGGCAAATTTGCCAAAATTTAGGCAGATCGTCGCACAAAGCAAACTTTTGGCAAACGATAGTCCTGATTGACATACATCAAATGGCTTTTAAATTTCTGAAATCGGTTCAGGCGTTTTTGAGCAATTGTCTAATTTCGACAAATGCCAAAAAAACGATACTAATTTTTGCAAACTTTATAGAATTTTTAAAATTAAACGACTTGTAGTAGGACCATATTATTTTAGTATGATCTATAAGACTATGTATCTACCATCAAGTTATCAATTAAATTTTCAAAATTGATTCAGAATTGCGGGCTAAAACGTGGACGAAAAATTTTTCACTTTTCTGCTATTTATAAAGAAACGGCTTGGCCGATCGTCGCATAAAACTGACAAACAATGGTCGTCATCGAGATACACCAAATGGCTTTTAAATTTTTGAAATCGGTCCAATCATTTTTGAGAAATCGTTGATTTACAGCAAAAAATCTGTTCACATACACGTATGTACACGCACATACTTTTTCCAAATTTGGTCTCATTCGATTCAGAATGGATTGAAACGTCGAGAAAACATAAAAATAACGAATCGGATTTTTTTATGAAAACAAACAACTTTTTCTTCGGAATGTAAATACATTGTTGTTTAGTAATAAATTTATGAGTTATGTTTCTAAATATATATTTATAAATACATACATCGTATGTGTTTGTAAATATATAAATTCGATTCATAAAGATAACATTCTTTTATTCATCATTAGTAGATATTGTTTTGTTAATTATTTACATGTGATGCACTGAAGATGACCACTATAGAGACTGAACGTATGAAAAATTAAACCTAAAATAGTTTTTTTTTCAATAATTATATGAATGCCTGTATAAAAACTTATTTGATTTTATATAATTTTTGGAATAATAACTAAAGAGACTGGAATTTCTGACCAGATAGTTAAAATAGAACTAAAATATCAATATTGGTAATTATAAATTCACAAAACGGTCCATTATTAACGGTAACGAGATGAATTGTAAACGATGAAAGTCTAAATCTAAAATAGAACGAAAGGTCACAATTGTTCTATAATAAAGAATGGTTTTAAAGTCATTTTCTATCAAACATTTTCTTGTTGGAAACAAATATACATACATGCCATAAAATATATTAACGACCCTTACTGTCATTGATAAATAAAAACCTAGTCGTTGAGGTTATACTTACATAAACAAACAATCAAACACGAATACACTTTGAATCCTTTTCAACACTTGATATTCACTATAAAAATATAATTACAAAAATAATTTGATAATTATAAAATTCTTAAAATATAATGTAACACAAAGATTTTTGTAAGTTTGTAGCAATACTTATTCTCGCGTGTAGGAAATTGCGGTAAATATAACATTAGCAAGTTGGCATCGCAAACATCGGATCAGTAATAAAAAAGACGTTTCTTCTCTAAAGAAAGTTAATCCTTAAATTAATCTTTCTTTCTAATCATAATATGAATTGCTAAAAAGTATTCTATAATGATTATACATAAAATAAATTACAGATGAAAATCCAATTCATCAAGTTTACGACCATCTATAAAAATCTAATGCTGCGTCTCCACTGCACGAATCCGTGCGGCGAATCCTGTTCGCGACGCACGCATGCGTTGGCTCTTGTGCGCGACGTACACTGCGAGCAATTTGATACATTTGAAATTTTTAGGATTCCATAATATTTTTTTTCTTGATACAGTTCAATTATAAGAAGTGTAAAGAAGTATAACATCTTCTCTACGCATATCCATTTTCAAAATTGAGGATAAGATGAAATATCTCAATGCCTTCACTGTACAATTGAACTTATACCGTAGCACAGATCAACGTTTACGTACAATTCAAAGAAATAACGGATACGAATACAGAATGCAGGCTGACCAACAATTATCAGTTTTGAATAAAAATTATTACTTCTGTTCTAAATATAAATACTTCAGAAAAGACTTTGAGCAAAATTCAGTCTGCATATTAATAAGATTTTAAATGATATTTAGCGTAATTGCAAATAATACAATATTACCATTTTTTTTTTTGAAACATTTAATTTATTTTTAATTATAAATATATGATACGTCATATAAGTAGTAAGAGTATATATATATATATATATATAATACATATATATATAATATATATATATGTATTATATATATATATATATATATATATATATATATATATATATACATGATAATATCATGATGATATAAATTAACTCTGAAATATGATAAATAAAGTCTACCAAAATATATTTTAGTTGGATATACATATATTCCAACATATCTATAACTTAATTACCGATGTATTTCCTATACTAATAGTTAGATAAAATTATAATTAGTACATCAATTTTAATGACTGCTTACTTACATTTTTGATCCACGCTTTGACGCTAATCCATTAGTATCGGTTCGGGTATTCTCGGCAGCCCGATGCGTCGGGTTGCTCGCGGCGGGAGCGAGCGCCGCGAACGCAAGCTATTGAAATTTCGTGTCGCTTCGACCATGTTCGGCAGGGTACGTGATTCTAAAAATAAACCCCCCCTCCCATTTTCAAACAAAAAAGAAGAAAAAAGTGCGCTATGGACATGCGCAGTGGACAAATTTGAAGGAAATTCGTGCGTTCGCACAGTATCACTCCGCTGCGCAAATTTGTTCGTGACGCACCATTTGCCGCACGGATTCGTAACAGTGGAGACGCAGCATAAAGGCTCTGGTACACTGTGAAATATGTCATGTTACTAAGCTTCCAAAATACTATTTAGATTTACAAAATAAGATATTTATAGATCAATTATTACTGCGAAATTTTAATTTAATGAAATGGTAGCATACTTTGACATTGCCTTACAATGCTGCAGTCTTTTAAACTATAAAGTTCGACTAAATATATTATGCATAAGTATTATTAATTTGCACGTATGTCTTTAATATAAACGTACATATGTCTAATTTTTATGAACAGATAGTTTTGACCATGTTATATTGTCTAGGGTTTTGACATTTGAAAATTTATTAAATTGATTCGTAGTTTGATTTCCTAAACAAGGATCAGCCGATTTGAATAATTCTAAAAACGATTCGTATTGATGGGGAAACGTGCTGATTAGTTTTTGGCAAAGGCAGGTCCAGCTGTTTCGAGAATCCAATAAAAAAACATTTGGCGGTCCAAAAATGATCATTAGAAATATGCACATCAAATCCATTTAGGTATTTTATAGAGATTTTAATAATGGGTGCTAATTCTGTTTATCCGTTAACTGCTACGCGAGGCTTGAATTTTGACTTCAAAGCTAACGCAGCCCGATTGCTTTGAAAAAAAATATCAAAATTTTCAAATAAAACTCAAAATTTTAATTAAGTTCCAGCAATCTGCCTTAAGGCACGATCACGGGGTATTCTAATATTGTCTAGGGCCACCACTAGTTGATTTTTCAAAACACTACGCTGTGATAATACGATATACTTTATTTATCTGTTTTTCTAAAAAAGCTTTTCTTTTAATTTTATTCTTCGATGCTATACAGCGCTTTCTGTCAAATTTTAACATATAGAAGCAGTATGTCTATTCTATCAACATTTGACATCTCTATGGTTTTACGTTGTCATATCGTGTCGTGCGTGAAAAATTCTTTTTAGATTAATCCCAACATGGCTTCATCAGGTTAGTTTTTAAAAACACTATTAAATCAGCGATTTATCTAATTACGTGATCGTAAACGTAAAAATTATGTTTTATCTTGCTCTTTATACAATAAATTCATTTTAAAACTATACTTTCAGTGATTATAAATATATATTAACTAATGTATTTGCCTCATGGCTAGGATATTAAAATTTGTTTTAATTAATATTTTATTTACAACTGCAGAATTATTTCTTTTTGTGCGTAATTCCTTGTATTAATGTTTGTCTTTGAATAGATAGTTTTCACAGTTTTGATGAGGTTATAATCTGATTAATGTGATGAATTCGTTCTAGGCAAGAAGGGTAAAAAGACTAAAGGTAAAGTAGTACCTTGGCAGGAGTTTATTGCGACGCAGACGCCTGCAGCTTTACCAATTCGAAAAGGTAGCAGCTGGGCAGATGAAGTTGAAAGTGATGGTGAGTGAAACAAAAACAATACTTCATTTGAAGTGCTAAAGGGGTCTTTTGCTAATTTATCTCAAAAAAATTAAAGATTTTTTTGTGAGCAAGACTTTGTACAAATATTAGTTTTACACAAAACATTAGCTAATTGTGAGTTTCCATTATAATATAAATTAAAGGCAATATAAAAGTTGTGTTTAATTGAAAAAGAAACATTATTAGTAATTGCTTTAGAGTTTTTAACTATGAATGATTCTACAACACTGATAAATAATAAATAAAACATTCTTACAATTTCTCTTAGAAAACTTCATTTAGCAGTCGTCACTTTAAAATTAGTCAAAGAATTGAGCATTGAATTACATATATACTAAATTCAAAAAGTTTTAGTATATAATGAGTTTGTATAATCTTGAGTTCGATGATTATTTGTATTCAGAAGAAGTACTTTAAACTTAATCTGTGGTGTTATATTTTGCTCTTCAACAACAATGTTGTGCTTTAAGATGAAACAAATTATAGGGGCCTAAAACAGTTTCTATCTTTGTTGAATTTTGTTAGATTATATATTACTTTAATCTGTATGTTGATTATACACAGTATTAAACTTTTTAATGAAAATGTTTGTGTGATTGGAAATGGTAGTAATTTAATTCATTTATACACATAATTTTCCAGAGGTATTATTTTATTATACAATATATTGAGATTGTAAATAATATTTGTTTCAACCATTGGTTCTTAACCTTTTCTAAACTTACGGTAAGATTAATTGTAAAACTTCTTCTTATTGCTTCTATTAATTTTTTAAATTAAAGCATGGAGTGAATGGTGTATATTACATTTTATATAGATAATTTTGACATTCGGCCGCGGCCTGCCTTGCCATCAGGCCCCAGAGCTAGCCGAGAAGTTGATGATAGTGCTGTGCCTCATCAACCACCTTACATAGCTTATGTTTCTAATTTACCTTATGATATTGAGGAAGATGATCTTCGGGATTTATTTGCTGATATGCAGGTACTAAAAAATTGTTTTATGGCATTTTGTAAATTATAACCACACATATTTCACAAATTATTGTAGAATTTGATATAGTTAATTTGTTGTTCATAAAATAACACATAATGCATTTTTTGTATAGCCATATTGTCACCTACAATTTGAGTTTGATGTTAATATATATTAAAGATTATAATTTTACTTTATATTTTAGATTGAGTCATTGAGAATACCTCGAGATGATAGAGATGGTGAGGGAGGCAGGACTAAAGGTTTTGGTTACGTTGAATTCTCAGAAAGAAGTGGTCTTGTAGGGGCTATATCCATAGTAGATCCGGTAAATGAAATAAATTTAAGTTTTTATAATTATAAAAATAATATTCTATAAAGTATATATGAATATGCAGGTTGTAAAAGCTCGAAGAGTAAGAATTGAGGTAGCAAATGAAAATGAGCGTCGGCGAGGAGGAAACAATCGTGACAGAGATCGTGGGGACATGAATCGTTCAGATGTTATGCATGATCCTGAGAGAACAACTGGTAACTGGAGACAAGGGGGTGGCACAGGACCTCCACCTGTAGATTCCCCTTCCAATAGGGGAAGTAATTATCGTAATAATGATCGAGATAGAGACCGCGAGCGCGATGGTTAGTTCTATGTTTTGGCAAAAGCTTTTGATGCATTTGCATTACTTCAATCTTATAGAGAAAAAAAATGTATCATATTTATAATTTTATTAATTTGTGTTATAGGACCTACAGAAAGTAATACTAGACCTGGTGCTTGGCGTGATTCAAATGAGAGATCAGCTTTCCACGAGGACCACCGAGATTCTAGAGATCGACCCAGTTTTAGAAGTGAACGTGGTGCAAATGATCGTAATTTTAATAGAGATGATCGGAACTTCAGCAGGGATGATCGCGATAGATTTAGTAGAGAAGACAGGTGTGTAGTTCATATAGTTAGTCTGTGTAACTGATACTGTGAAATAATTAGACCTTTTTTTAAAGGTAGTGCATTATTTTAAACAGAATTTATTATTAACAGATTCAGTCGTGGTGAAGAAAGATTTGGAGGAGAAAGAAGGCTTGGTGGAGGATTTGGACCTCGAAGAAATTATGATGACAGAAACCGAGATGAACCTAGGAGGGAAGATAAAGGTAATATAATTTTAAACCTTTCCACTCGGATGCCGCGCTGCTCTGGAGGCAAAATTCATATAAATATTTGAATTAGCGAGTATAAAGGGTTATCTTGAACAAAAGAGCGCATTATCTAAAACTATGGCCAGTAGGTCGGCGGATTTTTAAGAAATTAATTGCAACATTTCCAGAGCAAGAAAAGTTGCATAATTATCACTTTAATGAATTTGAATGGAATGGAATTCTACTTATCTTACTTGTTGATCAATACTCAAATTTATTTTCTAAAGGCACATTATGCCAGCGATTTTCAACCTGTGGGGCGCGCCTCCGTAGTGGGGCGCGAAGTTGTTTTAGATATATTATTTTTAAATGCTGAGTAAGTGTGAAAAATAAATCAGCAAAATACTTCCAAATAATCCTCAATTTTTGTTGCAATTTTGTCAGGACAAATGTAGCAGCATGAAGATACTATACTTTTGTTGCATTCAGAATATTTTGTTTTTGTGTATATAGCCGAGAGGGCTGCAGGCCTATAAACAAAATATAAGCGCTCGGATCATCCCAAATATGCACATGCTTACTCGAGACTAACTTAAATAAATAAACTAAAGCATCCTTTTTATTCTGTTATCTATAAGTTGAATTAGTTCATTAGTTGTGCTGAAGGTATTTTTCAAAGACTAAGCGCTTTAAATAAATCAATGCAAGGGTTTCAAATTCATGCTATTGTTCAGAAAGACAAAATTACAGCTTTTATGTAAAAATTGGAACAGTGGATAGCTAATGTGAAAACTAATAACTTTGACATGTTTCCCACTTTTAAAATTACTTGTGTTACTGATGAAATAGAAGCAAGTAAAAATCTTATTATCAATCGCATGACTAATCTAAGGAATCAATTTTCGTATTACTTTAAAGATATAAATATGTCCAAATACGAATGGATTAGATATCCATTCCCAATCCAAATTGTCATTGAGAAATATGATGATTTTGGTCTTCTAACAGCAGAGCAGGAAATAATTGATTTGTCTAGTAATAGCACATTGAAGCAGATGTTTTAGGACAAAAAGAATATTGTTAAGTTTTGGTTACAAGTAAAGGACGATTTTTCTACTTTGACAAATAAAGCTTTAAAAATTTTATTACCAAGAAACCACTGCATTATGCCCATATTGAAAATTACAGAAAGAACGCCTAACATTTTTCTGATTACGTGTATGGCACATTAATTAAATGTAACAAATTGTTTGATCTACAATATTTATCAATTTCTGAATTGTGCGAAAATAATAATTTATCATTTTCATAAAATATTTTCAATTATAATTCAGGTGAACCAAGGACAAGACCTAAATTACAACTAGCACCAAGGAGTATTCCTTTGGAGAAACCATCAGTTGAGAAACCTGAAGTTAAAGAAGAAACTAAGGAAGAAAAGTCTCCATCTCAAAACATCTTTGGAGCTGCCAAACCTGTTGATACAGCATCTAGGGAAAGGCAGATTGAAAGTAGGCTGGAAAAGGAACGTGAACTCAAAACTGATACCAAAGCTGGTGGTGATACCAAAGAGAATGATCGTAAATTTAAAAAAACAGAAATTGAGGACCATTCTCCAAAATTAGGTAATAATTGCCTTCTTATTATGGTCCACTTGTCTAATTTTGCTTTACTTACTAGCCTCCAATTACAATGTGAAGTTATTTAAAGCAGTTTTATTAATTTTATTTTATTGGCTATTTTAAGTCAGATATTATAAGTCATTAATAATCTAATTCAATGTAATCTATTTAATTTTTATAGTTGAAGTTCTAGTCATTTTATAATAATTGTTCATTAGTTTCTTTGCATATATCTATTACTTTACACATAATGTTATTTCTACAATATTTCATGCCCTTATGTTTTATATTTACATAGAAATGCAAGGAAATGATGAGAGGCGTACGAATAATAAAGAAATAAGCAGGGCACAAAATAAAATTGATAATCGGAAACATGAAAAGAGGTTAGTGTTAACTTTAAATTTTATGATACTGTTTGAAAATTGACTCAATTTGAAAGACATATATAGTGGTAGCTCGACATACATGTTTAATTCGGTACATAACCACACTCGTATCTTGAAATAATTTTTTTCCTATAAATATAATTGAAATGTCATCAATTTGTTCCAGCCCTGTGCTTTTAATTAAGATTTTTGAATATTAAAATTAAATTTATTATTTATTAATTTATTATTTTTTCCTACCATTCAATGATATTGAGGCAATGAGTTATACATGTTTTGTTGAACAACTCTCATACTCAAACTAATAATTTTTCGGGGTGATATTTATCTACAATCTTTTACAGCTCAGAGAGCATATAAATTATTGTAAACCTCTCAATAGCTGGTATATTATACTTATACCCTTTATTAACTCTTTATGTTTAAACACAGTAACATATGTATGATGTGTTAACTCGATCTTTGCAATTCTCAAATTTTTCAGTAATTTTGCACTTTAATTCAAGAGTCATGACCCTTATTTTTGGACTCATGGTTATAAAACAAAATATTTTATAAATGTACAAACAACAAAAATACAAACTGAACATAAATAAATTGTATGATTATTAATAATGTTTTAGTAATAATTACTAATTCTTGATTAGTGGGTAAATCATTAGTTCACAATTAATATTAATATATAATAGAAATGACTAACTATAAAATAATTCATCATACCATAAAACAGCCAAAAGACTTCTATGGTAGAAAAATCATTGTTACAATTGGAATAATTAATCTTTAACATTTATCTAGGAATCTTTTACTCACTCAAAGCTCAAATTTCGAATTTTGCTGGTATGTCCAAGTAACGAATCGTTTCTTTGGCGGCTTGTATGTCAGGTCAAGTCCGGGTACCACTGTATACTTGTATAGAGTTGAACTTAACTGATTTATTAAAATTTCAATCATAAATCTAATTTTAGTTTGTATACATCTGACTCTGTAATTTTTATTTTATGTTGTTAAAATTACATGCTTTAAGGTACAGTTAATTCGATCAAAGTAAAAAGTAGTTACCTGAAAATTTCAGTTGTAATTACATAATGGATTTATTTTACTTTTCTCTTTCCAATATTTACAAAATTTGTAAAGATGCCATTATTTTATAGGGAAGTACGGGACTCTCGCACTGATGAGGAACGCATGCCTAAATTGAAAGAACAACAAACACCGGTAAGAACTTTAAATTGAAAGTAAAAAAAAAAAAACTATTTGATAGTTACTATACTAAATAAAAATTTCTAATACAATTTTATATTTGCAGAACTTTGCGGGTTCCAATAAATATGCATTCTTAGAAAATGATTCTGAGTAGTTAGAAATTGATGACGGGTTACAATTTGTCTAATTTGCAGTGATGTGAAACTGCAAGCATAAAAATGTGGTAATTTTGGAACCGATTATATTTTTTGTCACGAAATCTGAATAGCATACAATAATTTTATAAATATATCATTTAGTTCAATTACATTTTAATTTGTGAACATATTGATTAGTGAATTAATGCTCTTATGCATATGTATCATATATATATATATATATATATATATATATATGTATGTATATATATATGTATATATATATATGTATGTATATATATGTATGTATATATATGTATGTATATATATATGTATGTATATATATGTATGTATATATATATATATGTATGTATATATATATATATATATGTATATATGTATATATATATGTATATATATATATATATATATGTATATATATTCATGAGCTCTTTCATACAAGTATGTATAGATTAACTACATTTATGATCATTACTCTTATCTGATTTCATTAGCTTCAACCAAATCACCCGGTACTAATGTTAAGAAACTTTGTTGCATATATTACTTGATACAGACATAAGAGTACATGTTGTGATGATGTTTCGATATCATATTGTTTGAATTCCATCTGAATGAAGTTTATTTGGCTTTGTAACCTATCTTTGTTTGCAGATTTTCATTCTTAATTTTCCATCCCTCATTCTGATGTTGAAATTATTAATCTGTTTTCTTCAAAGCTTTTTGCAATGCAATCCACTTTAGTCTTCTTTTCACAGAGTAAAGCCTTTGATCTAGAGGGATTAATTTGAAATGGACATATCGATCTCATCCATGCTTTTATCCTTCTCTTTGATGTCCTTTGAATGTTCAACTAATAAATCTAATTCTTCACAGATCTGCCATTTGTTCAACTTCCATATTCTAGTGATTAAGATTGACTTACAAACAATCATCTGCAACTTAACTGCTGTATCCATGAATATATGCAAATTTTCATTTAAAACTTTAAACTATGATAAATTTTGTTCAATTTGAATGTATCAACATAAGTTCTTTAAACAAATTTCCTGCAAAATGAACTATTCATGAAGAGAATGGATTACAAAATGTAATTCATTGAACATTCATTAACTATCAAAATTAATGCCATGAATCGATGTAGCTGAAAATCTATACGTATGTGTGTGTATTGGTTTTCAGCATTTCTATCAATGCATTAAATTTTTGATATCAAATTTGTCTTATAATAAAACTTGGTTTATTGCTCAAATAAGCATTGTTCTATGTGGGCTTTCAGTTAAAATATTATGTGCATTCATAGGTTACATAAATAATATAAACATGCATGAAAACATGCATATACTGTTGTACATATAAAATTTTCTATGTATAGTCATCCTGAAATTTGTATAAATTAGTGTGCTATTGGTATGTATAGTTAAAGTGGGAGCTTATTCTAAATTTTTAATTCGCTCGTGCAAATTTCCAATTTTATATAAAGATGCTTGCACAAATAACAATTCCATCACCATTGTTTCATTTTTCAATTTTTCTAGTAATATTGTCAATAGAAATGTTATTATTTTTCTTTTATCGTCAGTTCTGAAGCAATGCAAAAACGAGGTATATGTGGTAATTTATGATGAGTGTTGTTATGTGTGCTGTCATCTTAACTCTGACTTTATTCCAATTTGTTTGTTTATTCAATTGTATAATATTATATTTTAATTTAGTTAGTACATCCGAATGTTGCAATTTTTATGTTATTGTAAATCGAATTATAATATATGTCATTTTATTAGTAAAATTAATATGCAATTTTTAAAACTAATTTTTTACATACAAATGATTGTTATTCTTGGTCAAATAGTTCTATATTATTTGTTTATGCCAAATAAGTTTTACTGCATTATCTTATTGATAATAAAGATATATTTATACCCTAACAATGTTTTTTCTTGTTACACAAAAAAAGCTTGTTTAAAATACATACTATCAGTTCCTTTTGGTTAGGTTGTTTTTGGTGCCAAATATAATTTAGTTCTTTCATTTCTTCAGTAAGTATTTAAAGAAAAAACAGGAATATCTAAGAAAATTTTAACTTTTTTCATAACCTTTCTTTGACCATTTTTCACAAAGTCAAAGTGGTTAAAATTGAGAATTTTTTTAATATCTAATTAAAATAACACTTCATAAAAAAATATATTAAAACTTCTATTATTTTACTAATAAATTACAAATATATTGCAATTAAACATGTAATAAGATATTCAAGAAATATTAAATGTTTTCAAATATATTACTAAAAACACTGTAACTTTGATTATTCGTATTTTATAGAAAAAATATAAGAGCTATAAAGTTGGACGATGACTTTCCATATACAATATGTTACATGGAAAGTAAGAATCAAAACTTGATCAAGCAGAGTTAGAATGTAGGAACTCATTTCATATTTCAAATGATTATATAACTGAATTGCAAAGTTGAAATTATTCATTTCAACAATTTTTCAAACATATATATGTGCGCTTTAGAATCTTAGCTAAAATTGAAATTAAAATGAAATTATTGGAAATTAAAAGAAAAATTGAAATTTTAAAATTTAAAAAAATTGAAATATGTTTTTCTTTCCCTAAAAAGTAATCGCATCTTCCCAAGCTAAATGTTTTTTGAATCATTCCAAACTGATGCTTTGTTCTCTCAAAAACTGCCATTTTTTATAGCTCATTGTCTCTGAAATGGCTGGACCTGTCTTTGACAAACACTAATCACCATGTCTTCTCATCATTACGAATTAAATGTTTTTTCATCAGTCAAATCAGATGCTCTGTTCTCTCAAAAACTTTATTTCCATTCTCTGCACTCTTTGCTTCGTATCTCGGAAAAGGCTGGACCTACGTAGGTAACGCTGGATGAAGTTAGAATCGAATGCTCTTTGAATCATTTAAATCGGTTTAGGTGCTCCCGAAAATATCGACAAAAAATCGTATCTATCTGTAGAATAAGTTATTATTGTAATCGCCCAAAAATCAAAATTGAAAACTTCTGCATATCTTAACGTTTCAAAGGTTTCTGAGCATTTTGGCATGCCTAAAAAAATGAATGTGTGTGTATGTATGTGTAATGTGTGTGTGTATGTGTGATGTGTGTGTGTGTGTGTGCGGATACAAATTTTCGTCGACGATTTCGGGAACACCGATCAACCGATTTGAATAATTCAAAAAACATTCGATTCGTATAAGGAGACGTGCTGATTAGTTTTTGGCAACGGTAGGTTTAGCCGTTCCAAAGATACGGGGCAAAAAGTGCCAAAAGCGGTATCTCAGTTATTAAGAGAACGGAGCGTCCGATTTTAATAGTTCAAACAGCGTTTTATACTTGTATTGACAAAATGAATTCATTTTAAGAACTGATTAAATTTCTGAAATGGCAGGTCTAGCGGTTTCGGAGATGTAATAAAAAAAGTAAATAAAATGCCATTTGGCGTCAGAAATTATCATTAGACATATGCACATCAAATTATCAGATGTTTTATGGTGATTTCAATAATGTGTATCAATTTTGTTTACATTGCTGTGGATTCCGTAACATCGTTTTTTCGTTAGACGACGACGCGGCGCTTACGCGCTTCGATAATCCATCTCTATGCAGCTAGAGCAGTGCGATTGCTTTGAAAAAATGTTCAAAATTTCCAAAATATTTCAAAAATAAAAAAAAAACATTTTTAGCCAAAAGTTTTTTTTAAAAACTAAAAAATTGTCAAAAATCTATTTATTTCAAAGTTTAAAAAAAAAATATTTTTTAAAAAATTTAATTTATGGTACTGGCAGTTCCAGCAAGTTGCCTAAAGACACAATGCCATACACCACTAATTTACATTCGGTTGCGTTCAAAATTGCCGCCACAGGGTCGCATCGATCATAAACGTCAACACAATAAATGATTTGTGGATCAAAACAGTCGATTCACTACTGATCTGTCCCGCTTGTATGTCGAAATGTCAAAGTGAACCAAATGCATTTAAAAACGATTAATCCAGGACATGTCATGGTTCATAACCCTATACGTACGCATCGTGACTAATCTTCTGAAAACCTTAATTAAAATGTTTCGATAGTAATTAATAATTAATCGTAAGACGATAAAATCAAAATTCGTCATAATGTATTCGCATCTGGCTATACCACAGTACAGTAGAACGCCCAGAACGCCGTAATGGCTGACAATAAGTAATTAATTCTCAAGTGTAAATAAATATTTAGAAGAAAGTCTCGTTTTGTCTGTTTTATCTAAGTGACATGTGCTGCAATGTATAGTATTAATAAAATAGTTGTTTATACAAAGTTTTCAGCCAGTTAAAATATTAATCATTATTGGATACTTCGTACTAAATAAGCTATGTATGTATATTTTATACACACATTTATTCTAAAATACAGAATAAAATTTTGTGAATGAATTGCATGATAGAATTTTTGTGCTAGTGATGAAATAATATTTATAGATGATGTTAAAATCAATATGTCAAAAACCGGCAACATAATTTATTCGGTTCAAACATGGTCATGGAGTGAGATTGTAATTAAGAAATTGATTGTCAACAGAATTATTTTTGGAAGACGGAATAGTATTAAGATTTTTTTTGTAGTATATGAAAAATGCTGTTATATTGAAAATTATTTTGAAATTCTATAACATTTCACATATATCTTTAATAAAAATGGCATATTTTTAAAAAAATATTTACGTCAAGTTTGAGTGCCACAATAATATAAATTTTACGGATTATAATTTTACAGATGAGAGCATAAATTAAATCCAAATGTTTAATTTGACACTTGTCTCATCACTATAATCTTAATTGTCATCCTTCCAAGGTACATGGTTTAATTTTGGTTTAAAGTATAAAGTTTAAATATAACATTTTACTTTTTTTTTAATATTATTGTTGATATGTCTTTATGATATATTTCCTTTAGAATTAGTCTTTTTTGTTATCATTCTTATGCTTTATTCTTGTAATTTTATTTATCATGTATGTAATAGCAAATGTCATTTACCTAATCCTCAAACATTATTACATACTTATATTTTCTTCTATTTTCCATATAGCTGCAATCATTCAATTAAAATGTATTAAAAATCAACAATGAAAATATTTTAAAAATCTTGTATACAATTACAATTGTATAGCATCATTTTAACTGCATCTTACTGTTTCAATCTAATGATACTTTATAGGCCAATGGAATTTAGAAATTTAAGATTTGTCAGTGATTTCCAAAATCAGTTTCTTTTTGACAAAAATATTATTTTGATTTATTTGTGTATGAAATTTTTACAATATCTTATGATATGGTTATGATAAACTCTCATTGACGTTTATAAAGAAGATTCAAAGTAATGTAATTGAACATCAATAAAAATGTCCATAATGGATGTGATTTTATTCAACTTGATAATAGTTTATTTGGTCATCACTGTGAATATAATATGTACATTTATACATAATTAATGTGTAATTAAATACATATTATATATGTACATGTAATCAGGAATATATTTGTGAATATGCGTGAAATTAAATATTTTTATTTGAAATTTTATGTTCAAGTGCATTTATACATATTAATATTGTTTTGTTTGTTTCAGGTTTACCATGGGAGGTTTTTTTATGATAGTTTGGTTGCAAAGCGAAACCAAATATATTTTTGTCAATAATTATAAGATAAGAATTTTACATTAAAAATAATATCTTTACTGTTTTATGTATTTTAATTTATTTTTTTATATTTTTATATTTTTCATTATGCATTTTTATGCCCAATTGTTGATAGATCAATGCTTTGAGTGCATTAATTAGTATTTAATATTTGATGGTGAGGATTTAAAGCACTTGCCGTGTATGATCCATGAGTAAGTATAAACTATCACTTCTTTATATATGAAGATAGAACCATAACTAATATGCGACCCCATATATATTTAATTTATATTTTTATTGTTCGTTGTTTTTTCATATTATTTTGATCAAATATATTATATTCATATATGATCCTTATTCTTTTAGTATTAAACAAGAGTGCAGTGCAAAACAATTTAGGTGTCAGTTTTATAAATTCTCTTATATCTTGCGAATAAAATCCTTTAATTTTACATAAAATTTTAATAAATCAGAAAAATTAACTTGCTGCATCTTCTTTCTGCATCTACTTGCTAGAAATCTATGCAATTGTTTTTTTCTGAATTTAACCATAAGAATCTTAGAATTGCTATGTTATTGGTGTGCTTTCTGATCTTAATTATAGATGAATAAAGAAAATGGAAACTGACATTCAATTACCTGCTGGCATTTCATTGATACCTGCTGTTCGGAAACCAATCAGAAGTGGAGACAATGACTTCAATAAAAAGAATCCTAGTGGCGACAGCTCTTCAACCAATACCGATGCGTCCGTTGAGGAACTCCAACTTAGCCCAGTAAAAACTGTTCAGAAAAGAAAGCACATTGCTGATATTAAGCCCAGTAAAAAATACAAGAATTCTACTAATGATGAAGATTTCCATGATTCATCTGATGAGGACGATGAGAGCGACTTTGAAGAAAACCATGACAGATTTTCAGAACAAGAGGGTTCGAAAGAAGTTCCACAAGATATTCCAGACATCTTGGGAAAGTTTGGCAATGTATTGCAAGGAAATAACGTAGTATTGAGCAAGGATGATAGTGCAGTACTTATTAAGAGTAGCGAGTTGGATATTAGCAAGACAGGTAGCAAGGACTTATTGTCTGTTGGGGAGGACAGTGATAAACTCATCACTTCAGAAAATGAAAAAAATAATGATGAACTGGAATTTGACATCACTGAAAAATTAAGGGAAATGGGAGAAATAAGTGTCAAGCCAGTTAAGAAAGGATATGGGGAACAAACTACTACGAAGAGGAATGATACTGAAGATGAGGTTTCGGTTGAAATTGCAACTAAGGATGGAGAAGATGAGGTGAGATTAATTTATATTTCAATTATTCAACATATAGTAAAATATCTAAGTATTTCTGTTTTAATTGATCTTGAAATAGGAAAACTTTTATAATACCAATTAAGTTTGCAACAGTGGTCTTAAAAAAGTTGATTGAATAAATGTGTGATAGATTACATCAGATTAGACACAAACTGTGACAGATTACACAGTTCTGACAGGAACATATTACTTTTTTTTATTGAACAATTGTTGTAAGATATGTTTCTTAAATAATCATTTATTTTGATACTTTATTAGGAGCAATGCACAGCTGAGCGCAAAGTGGGAAATCTTCGCAGAAATATTCGAGAAGTCATGGATGACCGTCCAAAGGCAAATTGCTTTGAACAGACAAAATAATAAAACACAAACACGTGTTCTTTCCCTGTTGCAAGGAAACACCTCTTTATTGAAACAAAACTCCAATTACAGTGGACAAAAAGTGGGAATTCCAGGCAATGGAACTGTTCTTATGAAAATACCTAACAAAGGTGTACAAAGACAAGGTAATTATAATTATTTACAATTCATTATATTACAATTGGATAAATAAAAATCTAATCTATGCACCTCTAATTTAGGTCTCAACTTAACTCCTTCTATCAGTATTGCTCCCGTTAAGTCTTCAACAAAGTCCACTGGATATCAAAGTTCTGACAGTGAACCAGAAGTTGATGTCAAACCAATTGTTTTTGATCATGATATTAAAAAACCTAAAAAAGGTATGTTTTATTATAATAATTATTATTATTTGTAGATAGTTCATCTGATGATGATTGTATTATCTTGTCTGATGATGAAGAACCAGAGGAAGAACCTGAAGAAGATACTCAAAACTCAGGTCTTCATGTTAATGATGCCTATAACACTCCTGATGAGCAAGGACGCGTTGTGATTAATATTGGACACCCAGAGGGTGATAGTGATATATTTCTTGCGCCACAAATAGCTCGTGTTATAAAACCACATCAGGTTAATATTTGGATTAAGACTGATGCACGTAATAAATACATTATTCAATTAATTGCTGGTCTAAAGAAAATAATAAACCTACAAAAATTACATTCTATTTGGTAATACCAGAAATTTGTTGAACTGATTCAGTAATGATGATATTGAATATAATAAATTATATGTATAATAAATATAATATATAACAATTTGCCATTATAAATCATTATTGATTAATTTTGATGACTGTTATTGTATTTTTTAGATTGGTGGTGTTAGATTTTTGTTTGACAACATTATAGAATCAGTGGAACGTTTCAATTCTTCAACTGGTTTTGGTTGTATTCTTGCCCATTCGATGGGCTTAGGCAAAACTTTACAATTAGTCTGCTTCTGTGATATATTTCTTCGACATACGTCTTCTAAAACAATTTTATGTATTATGCCTATAAACACATTACAAAATTGGGTAAGTTTTGCTGAATTATAATCAAATAATATTATGTAATAATTTTGTGGATTATTTTAGATGGCTGAGTTCAATATGTGGCTACCTGTGGATGCAGAGACGAGCCCTTTGCGGCTTCATGGTGAGGTTCGAGCTAGAAATTTTAACTTACACGTTCTGAATGACAGTCACAAAACATTAACTGCAAGAGCAAAAGTGATCCAGGTATAATTAACAATAAATTTACACTTTTTACATGGATATTAGATGATCATTTGCAATAGTAACTGGATATAATAGCTCCCTTAAAGTTAAACTTACTCTTAATTAACCTAATTTCATCATAAGTGTCATTAACTACTGTATTTTATCTAAGAAACAAGGAATTGACTGTTACTTGCTAGATATTAATCAATAAAATCTAAATTTTTTGCTTCAATTCTAACAAAGCTATTAAATGTTATATTTGAACCAAATAATCACATAGAATATAAATTACTGATTCCTATTTTTAAAAAGTAATTTATAGAAAATGATTTTTTTTTTATTTAAAAAGAGCTATTTCACATGGTGCATCTTGAACGTTTTTGACTTTGAAATGTTGTTTGGTTGATGTATTATTTTATTTTTAATTTTTATTTAATAAAAATCTATTTGTAACATCATTTGTACATATTGTATATTTAATTTTATTTAATCTTTTTTAGGATTGGACAAGGGATGGCGGAGTTCTATTAATTGGTTATGAATTGTACCGTTTACTTAGTTTAAAAAAGATGTGTAAGCCTAAGAAAAGGAGGGGAAAAAATCAAGCATCTCTTCCAGAAGATCCAGAAGATATAGAATCCAATAAGAAATTACTGGATGGTATGTTATGACCGAACACAAGTTTAATGTCTTGGATTTGTAATAACTTTATATGCCAATTTAAAAATGAACTACTCTAATTATTTAATAAATTCACTTCTAATATTATAATTATATATTATATAATAAATTCATTCATATATATAAATATATAATTTTTTTTTTTAGAAATGTTTGCAGCTCTTGTCAAACCAGGGCCTGATTTAGTAATTTGTGATGAAGGTCATAGAATCAAAAATTCGCATGCTGGTATATCTATGGCATTAAAACAGATTAGATCAAAACGAAGAATTGTCTTGACAGGTAATGGAAGATTTAAATATTTATTTTATTTACCACTTGCCGTGAAAAATATTTGTCATAAAGTTCTTCAGAATCTTCTATGTCACATGGTGTTGGATGGCTTGGAAAAATGGAAAAATGATTCATTGATATAATAGCATTATAACGGTGAACTAGGACATTTTATAGATTTGAGAAGCATTATAGTAATTGTTGTAATCAATATATATATATAATTCTGAAAACCCAAATCAATTCAAAACTATGCTTTTAGAACATATGATTAACTTGAACCACACTTTTAACATGTCAAATCCTTCTATTCTATACCTTGAAAAGATAGTTGAGTTTAGTTTTTACTTATAACTCTTAATACTTCTTGAGTCAACAAACGTAATTCCTCTCATCTCTTACATGACAGTTACAAAGTCATTATAAATTTTATGAAAAGTAATTCTATACAGTTTTAGAATCTTTCGTTTATTATATTATTTCTCTGTTTCTCATTCCCCTTTCGTTTCTCACATCCCGCTTCCACACTATCACTACACTTGCTGCGTAAACTTGATCAGTGTTCATAATGCATCGCTATTAAAAACACAAAATATAGGAGGACAATATATGCTCCTTTAATTCCTCGTTATTAATATATTAGTATACCATTCTTTTACACAAATTTAGTGTAATAAATTTTACATAATTAATTTTTTCTGTTGTTTTTCCTGGTTTGGTATATATCAACTTTGTATTTATGTAATATGCTTTTTAGATTACTGAATGACTGACACATCAAGTGTCAAAACATTTAATGGAATAAATAATTTTTCTTTTTAATCTTAATATATATATATATATATATATATATATATAAAAAGGGTGCACCATCAATATCGATGCTTTTCTGACGCAACCTTGTATCTCAGAAACTACTACTTTTCAGGAGAGACAAAAAACGTTTTATAACGAATTTTGAACTGCTGTTAACAATTTTTTTTATAATTTTTAAAAACATTCAATCTTGTGACAATTATTTGAGACAAGTATGATATTACAAACAATTAATCATTATTTTTTCTTCAATTCTTTGAGATACGTGTTTGTCGCACGGAAAAAAATGTAACATACGTGGTTGCGTCATGCTGTTTTCAAATAAGAGTACATGAATAACTTTCTTCAATTGTTTTATTTTGAGAATCGATCAACTTTTTAAATAATTCTTAATAAAAAAAACAAACATTATTAAACTTTAACGTTAGTTTATAATTACGACAATATAGTATCTGGCCATAGTTTAGGTATTTCAATATCTAGGATATTTAGCTCCTTCATGGATTTATAATTTACTACTTTGTGATTATCATTTTTATTGTTACTTTTATTCTTTTTTGTTATTATTTCTTTATTTAATGATTTTTTATCTGCGGATGACACATTATCTAACTCTAAAAAATACAAAATTTAATTTCATTTATTGTCAGTAAGAATTGATAATTGTTTAATTTTTGTAGCTTACTGTGATATTTGTTCTCAACATAATAAAAATATAACTAGTGGTGCATGGCATCGTGCCTTTAAGCAAATTGGTGGAACTTTCCGTTCCGTAATTAAATAGAATCGAGGAATAATAAATGATTACAAATATATTATTGTACGTACTATAACTTTTGTTATTTGTATTTGAATGACAAAATATAAGAATAAACTGGACAACGACGTTTATATATGTTTACATAAAAAGTAAATAAAAGTAAAAAAAAAACATATCTCATATATATTTCTAAGAATTATATAAACTAATTTGCAAATTTAAATTTATTTATTTGAAGTATATAAGAGAGTTTTAGAATTTTAGCTAGAATTAAAATTAAAATCCGAATCATTTTTCATATTTAAACGAAGAAATAATTGTAAATTTAAAAAAATGGACAAAAAAAATTCTGCTTTCCTAAACTAATCGATTCTTTATACTGCAAAATGTTCATTGAATCACTCGGATCGGAAGCTTTGAAACGACTGGGCCTGTCTTTTCCAGAAACTAATCACCACGTCATCAATACAAATTGAATGTTTTTAAATAATTCAAATCGGATGCTCTGTTTTCTCAATAGGAAAACGATTGTTTTTGAAGGTTTCAAATCGGTTGATCTGTGCTCCCGAAAACGTGGACAAAAAATTATATCCACACACACACACGCACACAAACACATACATCGATTTTTTAAGGTATGTCAAGATATTCAGAAACCTCTGAAACGTTAAATATGCAAAAAGTTTCATTTTCAATTTTAGGAAAATTACTATAACTTGCGGTAAGTAAATAATAAATGAATTTATTAACTATCGTTCATTAAGTTTTAATAACAATTAACTTAATTGAATAATAATTTTTATTAGAAAGATTGAACTAAACAACATTGCTGACAGCGAAACTTGTTTATATACGCCACCATGTATTCTGAGATACGAGGTTGTATTTTTCTCAATAAAAAACGTTCGGTTGATTTTTTTTTACAAAACTTCACAGATCTATGCGTCTATATTTAGTGATTGATTTTCCGATTAAAACTCAAAATCGTCAAAAATCGAGTTACGAGGTTGCGTCAGAAAAGCATCGATATGTGGTCAATGAAAACATTAATGTTTCGTTTGTGCAATGAAGGGGGTCACATTGTTTCTCAAACCTAGCTGGAAGAAGTTGTAAAGCTTTAAATTTGATAATAAATTAAAGCTTATCAAAATTCATTGAAAATTGTTCAAGTTATTCAACATTTACATTCACCACATAATAAGTACATTTAGCTGAGAGTTTTATTTACCTTTCACAATCTTTGAACCTCTTGATTAATATGAATGATGTTTTTTAGAATTTTGTGGAAAAACTTACATCTCATAACATTGTTTAATTTCAAAAATTTATATAGATTTCAAAGAACAATTGTGATTTAAAAATATTTTCAATTAATTCAAAACATTAGTTTTATATGAATATTTGCAAATTCATTTTTAAAAAAATCTAAATTTATTTCAGGGTATCCACTACAAAACAATTTGCAAGAATATTGGTGTATGGTGGATTTTGTGAGACCGAATTATTTGGGAACTAAGACAGAATTTGCCAACATGTTTGAAAGACCTATTCAAAATGGACAGTGTATTGATTCCACTCCGCAAGATATTAAATTGATGCGTTATAGAGCACATGTTTTGCATTCTTTACTTCTGGGATTTGTGCAAAGGTATGAAGATAAATCTGGGATTATTCAAAATACTAATGTAATACAAAATATTAATCATAAGCAATTGTTTCAAGATCATAAATTTAATTATTAGAACTTTTTTCTTCATTTTATTTATAATATCTAAATATGCTGCTTTTAAAACTATATGTATTTTTGTACATAGACGCTCACATGCTGTGCTTCAAACGTCACTTCCTCAAAAGGAGGAATATGTATTGATGTTAAGAATGACCCCATTTCAAAGAAAATTGTATGATACATTCATGAATGATGTTGTTCGTAAAAAAGCTGTTCCTAATGCTTTGAAAGCATTTGCTGTTTGTTGCAAGGTAATAAGATTTAATAAATTATATTATATATATATATATATATATATATATATATATATATATATATATTGTTTAATCTTAAATTTGATGTTGGTATAATATATTAGTTTGGGTTAAAGATCGTTTCATCAATAAAAATTATATGAATTCTTTTTTTTCTAATTTTAAATCCATATGTTTTGGCCAACATCCTTTCTTTCAGTGGAATATTCTGACAATTATAATAATTAAACTAAGTAAGTATTTTTCAAATTTCAACTCTTATTTTTGGGTCAATGCACGGGAAATCATAATTTGTTTTAGAGGTATAGTTTCTTCAGCAAAGTATCTTAATTTGATCCCTAGTATCCGAAAATCATATGTGCCTAAGCAACTTTTTTTGACCCATACAAATCAACTCGATATATATATATATATATATATATATATATATATATATATATATATAGGTTTGTGTTTAATATTCTTTTCTATTTAGATATGGAACCACCCAGATGTACTGTATCATTGGCTTCGGAAAAGGGAAGCTGATCTAGATCTAGATCTAGATGATGGAAGTGCTGACACTGGACCAAATACAGCAACCAATCAAACTGTGTCTTCTGTAAAACCTAAAAAGGGAGGTGGAAGGGCACGTGCAGGAACAGCAAAAACCACCAAGAAAGACAAAAAACTGCAAAAGGTAGTTTTTTTTTTGAAATTAGAAAAATGAATAGTTATTGCATATAATAATGATTATAATAATAAAAATGATAAGGCAGGCTAACAGTGCCAGAGCTTCAATTTCTTTCTCTTTCTCCATTTTGTTTCTGTGTTCTTTGTCTTAGCTTTCAAATCTGTTTTATTAACCAACCAACACAATTTCCCAATCTCAGTACTTTTTATTTCATCCATGTAGAATGCTTTTTTTCAGCTTTTTGTAATATTGGTAATGTTCAGTTTTTGCTTAAACTATACCATTTTTTTTTTCATTTTATTCTGCATTATTTTTGTCTTACTCCACATCTAAAAACACTTCAAATAAATTTTTATATCAGTTTGCTTGTTCATAAAGTTTTATTTTTTGTTTGTAAGGTTTTATTTTGAGCTTGTTTATATTTCAAAATGGAACATTATTACTTTTGTAAAATATTTGGAGAAATTTTTCATTTTTAATTTCGGATATGTATAATGGAAAAGGATTTTATTTCAATATTTAATATTGATTTGAGTGTTAACCAGGTTGAACATAACTCATTTTTGTTAATTGACAGGATAATACTACTAGCAAACTCAAATTAATTTTCTTATTGTATTTGTTAGTTTTAATTTTTATGAGTATATTTTTTACCAGGGTGTTGTCGCTGATCTTCCTGCATTTTCGACGGATGCTGTAGCCCAAGATGCAAAACCTTCTGCTTCGATTATTCCAAACAGTATTAACAATAGTTCAAACCCGGAAAGCACATCAGCTAACTCCAATTCCAAGTTTTTCATGCCCAATTCTGATAATTCAGATAATGCTATATCTTTTTCAAACATGGGAAATGAAAGAAACAATCAAACTTTTCCCCCGTCGCGACAAATGGAATCAGGAAATTACTCTTATCCATATGGATATGGATCTCAAAATAATTATTATCCACCAAAAGAAGAATACAGGACACCTCAATATTTACAAAACCAACCATCTCAATTTCCAAGTGGTGATAATTATAATGCTTTTCAATCTCAGCAACCGAATACAGATGCATATAGTTCTAATAATAGTGGTCAATATTGGGGCCAAAATTATTACATGAATCAACAAAGCACAGATTTCAATTACCCAAGTAACTACTCAAATAATATGTTTAACTATGATAATAGATACTCAGAATTTGATAATATAAAAACTGATGACAAGAATTGGAACAGTATGAGATTCGACAACATTAAAACTGAGGATAATAAAACGTGGAATTTGGATAAACAGGAACAGAATCAAGAAGTTGGCGACACAAACGAAAACTGTGATACAAACATGAAACTGGACAAAAAAAATATTTTAGATCTGAATTCTGACACATCTGGTGTAAAAAGTGAAAATCGTGTTAATTCACTAGAAGAACCTAATATTAAAATGCCTGAGGACATAACAATGGCTAAACCTATAGATGAGAATTTTGACAAAACTCTTGATGATGTTGATATTCAATCTCTTAAAATTCCACCCAAAGACGAAGGTATTCCTTATGATTGGGCAACGGAATTGCTCAAAGGATATGTGGATGGAGTTATTTCAAATTCAGCTAAAATGGAAATATTTTTCTGTATTTTGGAGGAGAGTATTAAGCTTAATGATAGGATATTAGTTTTTAGCCAAAGTTTATTCACACTCAATTTAATAGAAGATTTTCTACAAAAGAATGTTGTTACGGGGACTGATACGAAATGGGCCAAAAATGTTAACTATTATAGTAAGTATTTACTACATTTATTATCATGAACTACCCAATACAGATAAGTGAATTTGTCAGCTAAAACTAGGTTAATATATTATAACTTTTATTACCCTTGAAGAAAAATGTTAATTGGAAATAAATAGCTATGTTGGTCATTTTATAATCTAGTCATTATCAATAATATTTATATTCTACTGAGCAGAATTTTTAAAATTTCCCAGAAAAGCTAAACCAGTAATTTGTAGTTTTGGACTTTATTAATAAACTGTAACTTAATGATACTTTGATTCAAATCCACTTTTTTGCCTTTCAGGACTCGATGGTTCTACCAGTGCTCTAGAGAGGGAGAAGTTGATTAATGAGTTTAATACAAACCCTCATATACATATGTTCCTTGTTTCCACGAGAGCTGGCAGTTTAGGTATCAATTTGGTTGGAGCCAACAGGGTAATTGTATTTGATGCGAGTTGGAATCCTTGTCATGACACACAAGCTGTTTGCCGGGTGTACAGGTAAATTAATAGTGTTTGAACTCAATTTACTTGAGTAAAAATGTAGTTTGATATATGAATTGTTTTAAGTTTGACAGGATTTTTGTTTTTTCGATGTTTCAAGTCATTCTGAAAATTTTGGAAACAGTATGTGTGTTTGTGTGTGTATGTGTATGTGAGGAGATTTTTTATCTTTGGCCGACGTTTTCTCTAAAACAGCTGAACCAATTTCAAACTAGTGGGGTGTATGGCATCATGCCTTAATGCAAATTGCTGGAACTTCCCGTACCGTAACGAAATGTTTGAGGAATACTGAATATTTCCAAATAGATTATTATAAATATTGTAACATTGTCAAATATTATAAGAATTATATAAACTGAATTGCAAAGTTGAAATTATTTGTTTAAAGTATATTAGAACTTTAGTCAGAATTAAAAATAAAATCTGATTTATTTTTGATATACAAAAAAAAATTTTTTGAAAAAAAAAATTGATAAAAAAATTATTTAGAAACAAATTTTTTTTTCCAAAATCAATTATTTTGTTAAAACAAGCAGAAAGTTCTTTGAATCTTTTAAACCGGACGCTTAGTTCTCTCAAAAACTGCCATTTTTTTAACATTTAGCTCTGTATCTTCAATATGGCTGGGCCTACCTTTGCCAAAAACGAATAACCACTTTTCCCAATCATTACTAATTGAATGTTTTTCAGATCATTCAAATTGGATACTCCGTTCTCTCAAAAACTCGATTTTTATTTTCTGCACTCTTTGCTCTTTATCTTCGTAACTGCTGTACCTCCCTTTGCCAAAAACTAATCAGCACATTTCCCTATCAATAGGAATCGAATGTTTTTTGAACCATTCAAATCGGTTGATCCGTGCGCCTGAAAACGTGACCGAAATATTGTATCCATACATACATACACACACACACTCATCCAATTTTTCTGAGGTATGCCAAAATGTTCAGAAACTTTCTAAACATCAAGAACTGTGAAACTTTTCAATTTCGATTTTTGGACGATTACAATAACTTAAATCCATTCCATGTAATTCGATGAGAACTTGCGTTGATTAGATTTGCACTACAACCGTTCAAGTAGCACAAAAATGTTAAATTCTTTGTTGTACTAGCTTTAGTTTTTCCAAATTTTGATCACAAAGTTCTACCTGAATTTAAGTGAAATTTTGAATAATAGAAGAAAAATGTACAGGCCTTCGAATGATGGTAATTTAAAAGTAGTTCAAATAGCCGCACTGGTAGGAAATGGAGAATGAAAAATTATTTTCACATTTTTATGCACTAACAAATATTTTTTTACATTAATTGTTATGAACTACATATACAAAATCAGTGTAAATAGAATCACGTTATTATTTTTTTGATATCTTTATTATTTCCGACAAAAAGTGAATTTTTAAAAAGGGACCACTTTCACATGTTTTCACTGATATCTCAGCCAAAAGATGAGATAGGGAGTTGAAAATTGGTATGTCGTATTTTTTTTTTTTTTTTTGAAAAGACCTATGGCATCAATATCATTTAAATACCAGAGTGGGCCCGATTTTGTATGGAAACACGCCCATACCCTTTATAATTTCATCAAAGTTTGAAAAAATGAGCTGCGCTTTTTAGAAGTGAGTCAAAATTACCTATAATCCCCGTTTTTTCAACAACGGCCGAACCCATTCAAATTTTTTTAAAGCCTTTTGATGTAACTAGATAGTTAGCTTTGATTAGCTTTTTGATAAGATTGGTTTAGCTATTTCTTTAGAATTATCAAAAAAGTGCAATTTTTTCTGCTACGTTTTAACCAAGAGTCCTAGACTGATTTTGAAAATTCAAAAACTGTTCAATTCCGCGATTTGAATTAACATACTAAAATCTGATAGTTCTACGGAAACATTTATAAAAATTATTTGAAATTTGAATTAATCTATCCTGCTTTTAGAAAACACTCCAGGAACGTATTAGGCAAGCCTTTGTTTTTCAATATGTATTTTTTTTTTTCACAAATTGAATAATTTGCAATAGTTTATCTCATTATGAAACTCTATAGCAAAGCAAGTCAAAATTACTCATAAATTAATATATTGATTTCATCTTAATTCATTTAAGTGTAGAAATTAAAAAAAATAGTTTTTCTTTTGTTTCATATTTTAAAAGTTAGAGATACAGCTGTTTGATTATGATAATCTTCATCTGTTACCTGCCTTTTGCGAAACTTTAAACGCGTTTTTCTCAAAACCGCCTCTTTCAATACGATGCGCACGATTTCTAGAGTTCTACTGAACCGATTTACTTTAAATTTTCAGAGAATCTTCTTTATAGATTCCTCTCTGGAATATACTGTGAAATTTTTTTTTAAAATAGTCGCCGTTTTGCAAAAAAAAAATAATAATTTGTCTGTGGTATATACCATAGTGACAACATTCTAGATTAGTAGCCTTTTTATCTTTTTAATTTTGGATCACTAGGAGGGTTGCAATCATGGGCATTGTGGCGTGTCAATTTTTTGGAAACCCCTACTTCAGCAACTGATAATTTTTAAAATTATTAATCTTTTTTTGTTTTTTTTTCTGTACTCTTTTTACATTGATAAATAAATTATGGAAAAAATGATAGTAAAAAAATTCTTTTTTTACAATGTTTTAAAAATAACTTAAAATTCATGCCTCTTCACTAGAATACCCTCTTTATTTATATATGACGGAAAGTTCATGCAGCGTACGTTAAGACAAAATGTCGCTTACAACTAGTTATTAGATTTTTTTGCTACCAGGTATGGACAAAAAAAACCTTGCTTTGTGTACCGATTAGTCATGGATAACTGTCTAGAGAGAAAGATTTACGATAGGCAAATAAACAAGCAGGGTATGGCCGACAGAGTTGTTGACGAATGCAACCCTGACGCGCATTTGTCAATGAAAGAAGTCACTAATTTATGCTGGGATGATGAGCAAGACTCAGAGGTCTCGGACTTCTCACATGCAAAGGACAAATATATAGATGTTGTGATGCAAAAGGTAAGGTGTATTACATCTGTTGATTAAGTATTAGTATAAATTTAATCTATATCTATACTATATAAATTTAATCTATATGTCTACTATGCTCGTGACAACATATTTCGTTCGTTAAACTAAATACTTCTAAATTACTATTATTATTATTATTATTTCTTTCTTTGTTTATTTTTCTTTTTTTTTTTGTTTTATATAACTGTTATTGTTATATTGTTAAAATACTTAATAATTAGTTAATTAAACACTTACAATTTAAAAAACAAAAAATTTGAGAAACATTTTTTTTTTTTTTTTTTTTTTTTTTTTCTAATTATTATTTTCATAAGACTGTTATTGTTAAAATACTTAATAATTAGTTAACTAAAAACTTATAATTCAAAACACTTTAAAATTGTGAAACAAAATTTTAATTTTTTTATTTTGACTGTTATTGTTAAAATACTTAATAATTAGTTAACCAAAAACTTATATTTAAAAACACTTAAAAATTGTGAAACAAAATATTTCCTTCATCAAAATACCTAAAAATTTGTAAAAGAAAAAAAAAATTGTAAAAATATTTAACAATAACAATAAAAATGATAATGATAATATTAATAATAATAATAATTACAATAATATAAGATACTTAAATTTGTTAAAATATCATAAAATAACCTAAAATTTGTTAATATTGTAAAAGTATGTATTGTAAAGCTTATTAAAATTACTTATTAAATTTTTAAAAACACTTGTAACAAACAAACTAGTTATATTAAAAAAAAATTATAATTAAGTAAATATAAATAGGTTTATAGTAAATAAATTGAGTAATTAAATAGCTAATAATTAATTAAATTATATTAAACCTATAAAATATTGACTTAAGCCTTATTATAATATTAAATATTATACCGACGGCTTGTAAAATTAATAAATAAATAAATAAATAAATATCTCATTTTATCTTTCTCAGGTAGTAGAATCTTTCTCGCATGCTCTAAATAAAGAGCCATTTCAACATGAAAGTCTGTTAATTGATCGTAAAGAGAAGAAATTGTCACAAGCTGAGAAAAGGCAAGCACAACGCGGTTATGAATTAGAAAAGCAAGCTTCGACTAGACCAGCCTACTCTTACAACACCGGAGGTGGTATGCAGTATAGAACAATCAGGACACCAGATGGGGCTATTGTGCACAGACCTGTTGCTTCGGTAATTTATTTAATACGAATTTATTTTTCATGAATAGCATGAACATAAAATTGTAAAGAACACAGTTTTTAAGGACTTGCACCCGATTCTGAAAACAAAATTGATATAATTTTTTTTTTTTTTTTTGCTTTTTCCAAAAACAATAGTTTTGTCAATACAAGCAGAAGGTTTTTTAAATCATTCAAATTGGATGCTTCATTCTCTCAAAAACTATCATTTTTTGCACTTTTACCTCTTCATCTCCAAAATGGCTAGTCCTGCCTTTGCCAAAAAATTGATTACCACTTTTCCCCATCAGTACTAATCGAATGTTTTTTGAATCATTCAAATCGGACGCTCCGCGCTCTCAAAAACTCGATTTTTATTTTCTGCGCCCTTTGCTTTTTAACTCCGAAACGGCTGGACCTGCCTTTGCATAAGTAAGAATCAAATGTTTTTATAATACCTCAAAATCTGTTGATCCGTGCGTCCGAAATCGTGGACGAATTTTTTTTTTTAAAGACAGGGACATAAAAGCATTTGGATCAATGACATTCAATGTTGACAAAATGAGTAAACAATTTTGTCAAGAATAATTTTTGATCTTTTATGGAAAGACATTAAGGGATGGTTTATTTAACATCAGCGATTTTAAAAATGATTTAAAAAAAATAAAAGTGCCATTTTTGTCGCGCAGTAATAATATTTATTGAATGTGATAATGACCACAATTTAATTGTTGGTACAAACTAAAAAATGTATAGCAAACTTTTTTTATGTAAAATAACAAAAGAAAAATAAAATAATTATTTATGAACTGAAGAGGCTCTTTCATAAACAAGTTTACTACAAGTTTGAAGATGATATATTAGAAATTTTACTGTTTAAGAATAAAACAATGTAGTTCTTCTTTATCTATTTAATGTTTCATATGTAAAATAATACGTTTATGTTATCAAAATAAGCTTTTGGTAAATAACTTATTTATTTGAGCCATTTCTTTTTTTATGAATTGCTGAAGAGCAAAAACAGTGTGTGAGTTAGTACAGTGGTGTCTCGCAAAACATACGTTCATTCTGGATATATTCCATAAGTAATCACATAAGTAAACATTAATAAAATTAATTGTTGTGTAGTATGAAATATGCTCATCTGAAATCAAACATATAAAATTATTTATTACTTATTATGCATGTAATAATTTAATTATCAGTTATATCCAAAAGAGTGGTGCGGCATCTCTTTTTCGTCCCTTTGGCTTTTGAATTTTCAACTTCAAGCAACTATCGATAGTTACTTGTTTTTAACTTTTTTTTTAAGCGCTACTGAAAATAATAGCAAACGTATTAATACAAATTGTTTATTTTTTTCGCGTCAGTCTTCTTTGTAGTTTCTTGCACTTCTTTCCATTTAACTAAAAAGTCTTCTATAGCGGTAATAGAATAAATCTGCTGATTGGCTCTTTTGCTCCTCGTTTTTTTTTTAACTTCCCGTAGGGTAAGTTATAGTAATCGCAAAAAAATCTTCATATATCGTTACGTTTCAAAGGTTTCTGAATATTTTGGCATACCTTAGAAAATATGGATGTTTGTATGTGCCTGTGTGTGTATGCGGATACAAATTTTCGTCAATGATTTCGGGAACACCGATCAACTGATTTAAATAATTTAAAAAACATTCGATTCGTATTGATAAGGAGACTTGCTGATTAGTTTTTGGCGTAGGCAGGTCTAGCCGTTCCGAAGATACGGGGCAAAAAGTGCCAAAAACGGTAACTCAGTTTTTAAGAGAACGGAGCGTCTGATTTTAATAATTCAAAAAGCATTTTATTTGTATTGACAAGATGAAAAATTGATCAAATTTTCATAAAGGCAGGTCTAGCGGTTTCGGAGATCTAATGAAAAAAGTAAAAAAAAACAATCCATTTGGCGGTCAAAAATGATCATTAGACATATGCACATCAAATTATCAGATATTTTATAGAGATTTTAACAATAAGTATAAATTTTGTTTGCATTCCTATGGGTTCCGTACGAGTGTTTATCCGTTAGACGGCGACGCGGCGCTACGCGCTTTGACATTTTGTCTCTATGCAGTTAAAGCAGTACGATTTCTTTATAACAAGTTCAGAATTTCCAAAATATTTCAAAATAAAGAAAACATTTTTTTTTTCAAAAAACTAATTTTTTGTCAAATTTATAGTTTCTCAAAAATCTAATTTTTTAGAACTAAAATTTGTTCAAAAATGTTAATCGTTTCTAAAAAAATAATAATTTTTTGGTACGGGAAGTTCCTGCAATTTGCCTTAAGGCACGATGCCATGCGCCCCACTAGTTAGAATATGTAATTAAAAATTTTCTCAAGAGAATGTGCTTTATCCAATAATAGTACTTTAAGACTGAGCTTTTTTCTCTAGCAATTATGTTTCACAGGGGGGGAGAAACTCCCAAGAATCATACTTTGAAGATATTGGAACAATTCAGGCCTTCTGATCGGACTTC